AATAGTAGAACTTATGTCAGTTCACTCAACGGACATGAAAGAAGGTCCGTTAACCACATTCGTTGACGTCGTAATAATAATATTTGCCATTTTTAAAAGTTTAGTCCCGGCATCCCATGAAGTAACGGATGATGTCGTCTTCTGACTCACCCATCAGGCACATTGAAAGCACTGTAGGACAGCCGATTGGCGGTCATTGCCATGTAACAATTTTATCATTTATCAAGTTGTCGCCCACAGAACCAAGAATAAAAAAGGTCGGACATATGAGTGGGTCCCTTTCTTGGCGAATCCTTTAAGGTATATTCAGTGTGGCAATAGTATTCACTTCTTTAAATCTCTACTGTTCAAGCGTAACCTGCCCACATCGTATCCTTAACTTTCATACTAACTGACCTAATTGAAATTATAGTGTTTTATGTATCCTTTTCATTGTCTACATATGTTTTAATTGCTTCTTTATGTCGCTTATTGCGCTCATCTTATATTTTTTTCCTTATAGTGATTGCCTGGAAGAGTTGCCCTTCACTTTATTTTATTATTTGCATTATACTGTATTTCAAAAAAGTGTGCCGCAAAAATTCGTTTTGTTTCCGCTTCAAATCATCCTCCCTCTTTATCATGCTTAGATAGGGATAACGGAATATTGCTGCAAATGACAGAAGTCACCACCACCAGCGCATCATATACCTAATACCACTCTCACAGTAGTGATAGTCGTGAAATTCTCTGATTGTCTCGGTACCAACCGAAGTTTATTATGGGATTTTCGATCTATCTGACTTGTCTTCACAAAACAAAACACAACACAACGCTGAGCTCTACTTACGTCACCCATTTGATTGATTCCGATCCTATTGTGTATTGAATTAAAGATGTCCAGGCTACCTTATCAACTATCGCACGGTTGGGTTCCATCCTTATCTTCTTGATGTTCAAGTCCTCGGAACATTAAACACGACCTTCTCCCTTCGTCATTTTGTTTGCACAGCTAAAGAATGGAACTCCCTCCCTGCGTGTGTCTAGTCAAGAATAGAGGAAATGGGTTGTCAGGCGTAACTTACCAACCAAGCCTTTTTTTTTTAGAACGGGCAAACGGGCAAGGCTCAGCTGTATCTTACTTTCCAATTGGGTCTTTCTTGAAGGACCTAAGTCGAATTGGTTCGGGAAAACCTTCAGTGGGCCTTTCCCTATAAGCCTTGAGAAACGCTCAGTTTGAAGTCGGAGTCGAGAGGAACGGGTGAATTCGTATTCTGCCTCGACTCCGAATGAACTTGCAGGTATTAATCGAACAACTCCTCTGAACAATTCCTGGCAAAAATCAACCGCTCGGGTTGGTCGTCAATGACCTAAAAAGAAATAAGACGTGACTTCTTTCTTGTTCCGTTTGATTTTATTTATTTATTTACACTGCTGGTTTTGCGACACAAGTAATAATAAGGGGTTTATTAGCGGAAAACGCGCAACCTTGTGTCTTCTTGGGTTAAAGAAGGTTTGTCTCCCAATCTAGACTCCACAAGTAGAGTTTCAACTTCAGACACAAGTTTGTTCCGGTACTCATCAATCATTACAAAAGTATAATATACAGCTTAGATTTGTTATATCAGCTAATATCCTAGCTACCTTCAGTACCGTTGATCGGAACCCCTTCGCCATGGTCCGTATATTTCGTTCGTTGCATACAGAAATATAATTAAATAAAAAGAGGGGTAACTGGCAGCCTTATTGCTTTCTATCTAGTCTAGGCAGAAATTAATTAAGATAATATGATCGCAAGAAGTGCAAAAATACATAAGATATACAATTAGACAAAAAAGTATGGAACAATGCAAATCAATTTCAACATGTACACAGCGATGGACAAAAGGGACAATTAAAAGAAAAAAATAAAATATGTCTCAACCTCTTTAGGTCTTGGCCTATTTCTGAATCGGTTTCATGATCATTTTTAAATCTAATAGGCAAGTAGGTGATCAGCCTCCAGTGCCTGACACACGCCGTCGACTTTTTGGGTCTAAGACATGCGGTTTCCTCACGATGTTTTCCTTCACCGTTCGAGCAAATGCTAAATGCGCACATAGAAATAAAATCCATTGGTGCACAGCCGGGGATCGAACCTACGACCTCAGGTATGAGAGTCGCACGCTGAATCCACTGGGCCAACACTGCTCCATAAATATTAAATAAAAAACATAATTTATACCTGAAAACATTGTAATATATTTTCGTTTTAATTTACACAAGAATGACCACTGATAAACACCAAACAGAATTATAAGGTGCAAAGTAATTTTATAGGTTCGGCCGCGGGCGGAGATGTGCCGAGTGATACAACTCGTCTGAAGGGTTTTAATTTTCGCATTATGGTGATTATAAACATTATACAAATGTTAAACATGGGTTTTGCAATTTTGTCTCTATCATAAATTCCTTTTAAAAAATTAATTGACGAAATGCACTAAAAAATAAAAAATTCAATCATAAGATATAATAGCTATAGATAGTACTCCTTGTAACATTATTTTACGTAGATATTTATTTAAAAAAGCATGTGTGTGTACACGCGTAAGAAGTTATGCTTCTTTGGCGTAACAAGATAAAAATCTTTACGAAATTTTTATTCTACGTTTGTAGATAAAACGACACTAACAACAGAAAAAACTAAAATGTTGACTATAGCTAACTTCAGGGTGTCGGTTTTATGTGACGGTGTGCGCGTGCATCGTAAAAATTTACTCTCATAATTTTTCCCTAACGCGCCAAATGTATAACTTTAAAAAAAACCTTTCTGGTGGTTGGACTTGCACGAAGAGACTCAAATGTATAATACGATTTTTTATATATACCTATATATATATACAGGATATACATAAGTAAATGTAATGATAACTTTATTCATCTATTTCGTTAGACAACCCCTTCCCCTTCAAGACATTGGTTTTATCATTACCACTATGTGGAACCAGCTGCCCACTGAAGTATTTCCGAACCAATTCTACTTAGGGTCGTTCAAGACAAGAGCATACAAATTCTTTAGGCCGGCAACGCACTCGCGAGCCCTCTGGCCCTGGTGAGCCGTTTGCCTCCCGTTATATAAAATAACTACGCATCGAATTGATTCCTTCATTTTTGTAGTCTATTCTAGATTTGTTAATTAACTAAAGAATAATTTACCCACTATTCATTTAGAATTGGTCATAATTAGGTAGGGTAACCTCTTTAATCGCAATATATATCTACTCATAACATGGCTAAAAGCCTATGTAGGCGATATAATATTTAATTAAATTACTATAATATAATTTATTTTTACGGCTAATAGTTTTAATATCCTAAAAATTTTAAACGAGGAAAACTATAGTCTTGGCCATCGCCGTTCAGTTGCCTGCCTTTCAGTTGCCTGCCTTTCAGTCTCCTATAGATTGCACTCCTCAGAATGCTCCACGTCCCGATTCCGTCAGCTCCTTTCAAACAACGCTCATCTAGAAGCACGCTGGAGTTTCACCTCTACGTTGTTGACATACCCAGGTGCTGCACGATTTGGTTCGTCGTTATACAAACAGCAAAAGAGTGGAACTCCATGCTCCCTTCCATCTTCCCTAGAGAGTTTAATATGGGTTCATTTGAGCGGCGATTAAATGGGCATCTCCTGGACAAGCGCGCCCTCCAATAGGCCACATATCACTTATCATCAGGTGGGATTGTGGCCAAACGTTTTTCCAGTTCTGTATAAACAACTAAAGTCAGTATACCTACTTCAAAAAACCCCATTGAAATAGTTGTATATAAAACAGGAATTGTTCTCTTATCGGTAGGATTATTGCACCTTTTGTTGTTCTCGCGCAATTCTGCACGAATTTTTATTCATTTGTCTCACATACGGCCTGTTCAAAGAAAGCGGCCTTTTGGAAGTCATTGTCTATAAGTAATAAAAGTTTGCTAATATTTTTGTTTGTACCTTATCGGAGAGTTCAAAGAATTGTAATTTTTTGGTCAACACATGCAAAATACACCTGGTATTTTGAATTCAAAAAAAAAGCTTCTTTCGAAAAGAATATATATATATATATATATATAATATGAGGGATAAAATCTATTGTACATAAAAAGCTAAATTAACATAGTATTGTCTTTGATTAACATAACTTTTATTCATTTAATAAAACACTATTTTGACCGGATTGAAGTTATGTATTATTATAAATTTACAACTATTTAACATAATTTTAAATTTATCCGACGTTTCGCGTGCGTTGTAATTGTAAATTTATAATAATACATAACTTCAATCCGGTGAAAATAGTGTTTTATTAAATAAATTAACATATTTAATTAAAAATATAGTAACGATTACACTCTGTGAAATACTGCAGTATTTCTAATTATTTACCAAATAAAAGTTAGAATTTACTAGAAATGAGAAAAAGTTTCATATAGACCTACCTTGTCAACGGTAAAGAGACAATTTTTAAGTATTATTAATATCCAAATCTAGATTTTTAAATATAAATAATATCTCAGATTTTCAAAGGTTTGTTTAATTCAGTTGTCTTTGAGTTAAAGTTATATCAACATAAAACAACTCTCTGTAACATTATTATTAAATATATTATTAATATCAACATAAAATCAAATATTTAAATCTCTCAATTCAAATTTAAAAATATATTTTACTGTAAGAAAACAGAAAACAATATATTAAACTCAAGATAACATTATCCATTACAACCAAAAATAACAATGTCACTAAATCGTTAGAACTTTTCCGCCTTCGCTTGGAAATTACACAAAAGGTCATAAACCACTAATCCTAAGCGAGTGGCACGGGTTGTTTCTATTGTTCTACTTATCAGTAAACTCAGGTAATATACGGGTCATCCCCCACCCTTCTGGCGGTATATTTTTAATTAGAGATTTGCAGGATCAGTCTTGTGACAGTCGGCGTTTGGGGCAGTTAACCCTAATTGTTAATTAGTGATACTGTGATATGTGTAGTGAAAATGAGTGACAGTTTAAGCAAGCTTACTCAGTTCGTTAAGCGGTGGTGGGAAGATGATTATTATGAGGTAAAACTTATTTAAACTTTCACCTCCAGGTCCAGATTAACTGTGTTAAAACGAATTGGATTTGGTGGTGAAATTGGAAATGAAATAGTTTATTCTTCAGTAGACTATATAAATCACTTTTACAATGTCATCCAAACTAGATGAAGTCGACTTTCCTAACTGACTGCCCCTGAGAAGAAATGTCGAAACAAACTCGGGGTCTTAGTCTCTTTTATAGTCCAGATAATACAATAATAAATTAATAAATTGGTTAAACAAATGCATAGTATTTACTGGACTGGTTGGAAGAAAGGACCATATCGATCTGAGCAAAGCTTTTCCACAGACGGCAAGCATGTCCCGAGTAGCTCATGCAGCTCAACCCATCTTTAGGGAGCTGCACAACCCGGTACACAGCAATACCGCCAGTGGCACCATAAAAATATGTGGGGCAACAACTCACTCAGGTCGCCAGCCCAAAATAATTATAACTAAAATTATAAATTATAAATTAAGCAAAAGAGTTTATGATATACCCGCATAATGTTTACACTTACAATGGATTTTTTATTTGACTTAGAGTATCTCTGTATCACAGACTTTCTTATAAATGAGTAATTCAAAACTTAGATCTACATTTAGTGTTTTCCGAGTAGTTTTTCAAAGACATAGAATTATGAACTAATAATTTTTTAGTATAGGTAATGATCTTATTGGCTTGCTAGATAAATTAGTAATTGGACAGTATCAATCTATAACAACAATATTCTAAATTTACATTTTTAGAATATAAATTTGTTAAATGCTATTGATTTTATTATTCAAATATAAATGAGGTTATTTTTCCTATTTCACTGAAGTTGAGATTTTTAAGAGAAAAATGTCAATAGTAGCCGTTTAGAGACCGTGTTCCACCGAAGAGCTCTTTAATAATTCAATTTAGTGTACGAAGTGCCTGCGCGTTCGCATATAGGTACCTATAATACCAATCTCTATAGATTAGCTAAAGCCAAATATTTCATTTTAAATATACTGTTTAGTAAAAATAATAGTACGTATATGAAGAATGTTATAGATTCGCGTATATATTTCCAAAATTATAAATATTCCTGATTGTATACGTTTTCCTACAAGTAATAAGCTAAAAAACTCAAGAAAATTGCCTTCCAAATCGATATTTGACCTCTGGCTTATCCAATTATTATTAATAGCCATAACGACGCCATGAGGTGCCCTAAGCCGAGATTAAGATAAGCCGCCATTCTTGTCCACACTATATCATTACTACGTATTAAACATGAACAATTTTGTATGGAATCTAAATTGACAATATCTTTTACGATTTTCACATGTAACCTACTCTATACGGTCCGTTTTATAATTTGTTATTCAACTAATACTTTATATAAATTTAACGTTTAATTTATGCAACAATTTCCAAAAAAATATTTCACATTGGAGTGATCGACAGATTTACTTAGATTACTGATTACTGAGAAAATATTAGCCATATACGAGATCGATACGGTGTTTTAACAGCTAAGAGATATATGTATATACAAATTAGACAAGGATTAGAAACATATTGGGTGATACATACCAGCTTGCGGTTATAGTGTCTCTCTCTCCCCCATTATTCAAAAGCGGTGACTTCAATGTACAGGAACAATAATATCAGCTTTTACCGCTATTTATTATATAGATAGAGGTTTCGCAGTTAAAGAATTTTATTCTATTGGAAAACAAAATACAACTTTTTATAACCTCAATAATCTCACAAAAATCTTAGTTCGTAGAAAAATCTTTGTAAGTAAAATATCTCTGAAAACAAACTTCTTTTCAAAAATTATATTAATCTATGTTTCAATATACATATGCACTTCTTGCTTACCTTATTTTTTTTTAAATATCACAGTGGTTGCCGGGAAAAGATAAGCACGCAGCTATTCAATTATGCCAATTGTATTATGTTTTTATACATGCGATGAAGTTTTCATAAATAAATATTTCTAATAAATTAGGACTAAAATCGATCGTTTGAAAATGTATGCTTTGTTTAGTTTCGATTAGCAGTAGAAGTATTTTTTATATTTGAAAAAAACTGGGTAAAATTCTCTCTAGTCTAGGAAAGAATAAATAAACTATAGACTGATCTAAAACCATAGCTAATTGAATTAAAACTAGCAAACAACCCACCCACGGTGGCTATTCTTAAACCAACGACAAATATTTACTCTCTGTGTTTAATGTCGACATTACCACGTCTTATTTCATTATTCAAAAGTAATAAATACATCGACTAGCCAAAAGATTTTTACGCATTGCAAGAAATTTAAGTGCCTGCGTCTTCGCATACACTTAATATAATATCTGTATAGTAAATATAATAATATTTGAAGAATGTTATAGATTCGCGTATATATTTCAAAAATAATAAATATTTATAATTGTACACGTTGTCCTACAAGTAATAAGTTAAATAAAACCTCAAGAAAATTGCCTTCCAAATCGATTATATTTCCAAATGCTAAATATTTCATTATAAATGTATTACTAGTCAAAAGATTTGGGGGTTGGGAGTTGAGATTTAGGGAGGTAGAGGTAGACCCAAAAAAATATTGAAATTAGAATTTAGATTTACCTTCTTGATTTTCAATATTTATATAATATTACCTTACCCTAAAGTTTTCTTTTTATTCCATTGATGGAATTGGACTTTCTTTCTATGTGCGCATTAAACATTCGCTCGAACGGTGAAGGAAAACATTGTGAGGAAACCGACATGTCTTAGCCCCAAAATGTCAATTGCGGCGTGTGTCAGACACTGAAGGCTAGTCACCTACTTGCCTATTAGATTAAAAAAATGCTCATGAAACAGATCAGAAATCTGAGGCCCAAACCTTAAGAGGTTGTAGCGCTACTGATTTTTTTTACATAAACGAAATAGACATTTTCATTTATGTCTAAATCTAGCATTTTTACTGAAGCTTTAAATTCGCACCTCGCAATAACCTATGCAACCTGAGCTGAGCCTTTAAATTATGCTATTGATACACTTGTTCAATTTTCCCACACGACACTCCGGCTCAAACGATTACGTGAAATGGCACCGCATTTTGCGATTCAATTTTGTTTACATGCACCATGTTATGATAAATACGCGCCAATATAGGCTGTATGCCTATGTAATTATGGTCAGTGTCCTCTGGACAAAAAACTGTGATATATGCTCGTAGGCGTGGGCTGCGAATATTTTTAGCTTGTTATGGAGAAATGACGTTTATTACAAGGTAATAAGAAGTAACCGGTCACCGACCTGACACTGACATTACTCGGTTTTTTGTAAGATACAAGTTTGTATATCCATATTTCGACTGACGTAAAATTTAAGGTGCATTTTAAATTTTGTCGAAATGGCTTAGAGATGTTACTGTTAACTCGCATCTCAATCTTATTCCCAAACAGTTTTTTGCAGCTTTTTTTTTACTTTTAGACTAAGTAACTATTTTTAGAAGTTTGATATAATAAGGATATTTGAAGTTCAAAAAAAGCTTTATAAAAACTCAACAAAACTATTCGTTATCATAAACATCCAATCATTTGTTGTTATTTAAACTCTTAGAAACGATCCTAATAAGATAATAACAATGTTTCTAAAACGTCTAAAACCCTTTCATACGGCATAATGACAAAAACGAAAATATAAATTCTAAACATTAAAAACCCCATCATTTCATGCAGATCAAGGGTATACTTATAATAAACGACAATTTATTATATAATTTGTGAGATTAGAAAGAAAATTTAAAAATGTCTTGAAATTACCTGACGCGTCGGCCAAATGACTATTTAATTTTCCTCAAGGACATAATAATATGGCTGCGCCGGTGTATTACATGCTATAATCGAGTGACAAACGGTTTTAAATTTCGAATAGGGTGGCATTTTAAATAAATAGAGGTTCTATATTTTATGGAATGTAGACGAAACATAGACTTGAAGATATTTCAGCTAGTTTTTAATCTATAATTGCTTTTTCGGTTTTAAGATAATTGACATAGTCTATGGGTATTAGTATTATCGTAATAAACAGGCAGCTGACTTGTGGAACCCAATATACGCAGTAGTGGAGCTTCAAAACATACCAATACTTAATTAGTCGCAATAAATTGATAATTATATGTACAATCAAAGCGGCTATCGATGAATATTTAATAAAACCAATTAGACATTTATTACCTAGTCGAAAACGTAGGAGCGGTAAACAGAAAGACTTTGACAGCAGAACCAGCCCTAAATACTTAACAAATTAATAGTAATTTCGTTTTTTGATTAAATCGTTTCAAACACGCGACACAAACCACTTTTCTATTCTTCGAGTCGACTCGAAACCTTCATTTTACACAATTTTACCCAATTGCTCTTGGTTCTTGGAATTAATTTGATATTAGGTTGAACGCAAGGTGTGGACTCGATTGTTAGAATCGCTAACGTGCAATTATGTTAAAATACTTAGATTGTATGAAATACATTACCTTTGAATTACGGAAAACGAAGAGTAGCATTAGGAACTTTCCAGCTGTAAGGTTCCAGAAATTCTGCAATCTGCTTTGATATATATAAATTTCTGAGACACTATGTAGTACGGAGAATGTTATTATAATAACCTATGTAATACAAATTGAATTTTAATCAAAGTTTCTAAACTATTCATTATTATTTCATCTGTACTAAACGCTGTTTTTCTTTTTTCCAGGAATCGCAATCAAGTGCCTCAGAACGATGGAGCGGGCGAGGGCCAGAACACAATATGGCCCTGCAACAGATACTTAAACTTCAGGAAGCAAGAGCCTTGCATAAAACCTCGTTGCTTCCCATTTATAAGAAGAATGATATGCCATCACCTCCTAGTCAAAATTACGAAGAAATGAGAAACAAACATGTAGACAACTCAGACGTACGAGCATTTGAACAACTGAAGTTAGAAGCCGAATTCCGTAAACTTATAGAGAGAACCGGAAATGATGTACGAAATGAAGAATCCCTCAAATATTTCCAGCATATGTTGGAAATGAAGCAAAATATAGACTACTTAAACAGCATCCAAAAGAAAGAATTACGTAACAGTTCTATCGAAAGCAATTCGCCTAGTGTCAAGAAAGAGACTTTATCCCCAGAATCTAACCGCTACAGCCCTGAACAACACTCTCCCCAAAGAAGTTCTCCCACCGAAACCTCTGGACCCGGTCACCAATCTACCTCATCCAGCCCTGAGTCTATAATCAACCCTGTCACGTCATCTCCATTGAACCATCTTCAAAACATGCAGCCTTTTGACTTTCGAAAACATAGTCATAATAACCCAGCTCACAATGCAAATGATGCTACGCCAAGCAAAGAAATTCATAGCCACCAAGAGGCAGCAGATCTCATGAGAAGTCAATTTTTTAACTTCCAACTTCCATCCAACTTACCAATTCCCAACATGACCATGCCGTCTACGTTTTCACACCCAGCAGCGATGGTAGCGGCACTTAGTCAAAATCCTATGGGATTAGCATCATTACAGGCTCTGTTGCCACAAATGTCTGCAAAACCAAGTGATCGCACCGAAAGCAAGTCGAACGTAACCAAAGATAGGTCTGATGATGAAAACGTTTTGAATCTTAGCAAAGATGCATACACCGAAGCACAGCAAACAAGAGATGTGATGATAAACAAATGCTTAAGCCCACCAAAGCGTCAATGGAATTCATCACACTTACCCCTAAATTTAGGGACTCACTTTATCAATCCTACTACGGGAAAGAAAAGAGTTCAATGCAATGTTTGCCTCAAAACCTTTTGCGACAAGGGAGCTCTGAAAATACATTTCTCTGCTGTCCATCTTCGAGAAATGCATAAATGTACTGTTGAGGGTTGCAGTATGATGTTTAGTTCTAGAAGATCAAGAAATAGACACAGTGCCAACCCTAATCCGAAGTTACACTCGCCGCATTTAAGAAGAAAAATTTCTCCACATGATGGTCGAAGTGCTCAATCCCACCCAATGTTAATATCACCACATACTACGGGATTAAATATACCACCTGTAATGAATCCTATGCACGCCTTTAACTCGTATCCACTTCTTAATTCTTCACAAAACATGAGGCAGTTTTCGCATCATATGCATGTGGATTATAAAAACAATATAAGTGTGAACTTTCCTACATTAGAACACACTCATATTTCACGAAGAGAATCAAGCTCAGTTGAAATGAAAGATCACGAAATGCAAGGTGAATCTGATGAAGATGACGGAATCGTTGTCGTAGCAGGTGATGATGATGAATATGACAACGATAATAATATAAATCAGGACGGTTATTATTCGCAATTGAATAAGACAAGTAAAACCCATGATGATTCTGAAACAGAGTATGATCACGGGAGTATTAGTGATAATAATGATAGTTTTGAAAAAAGCGATGGAAAGAAAGATGAAAATACAAACCAAGAAGTTATGAAGAGAAAGAGAAAAAATTTAAATCCTATTCGGTTACCTCATAATTTTTCTTCAAATGAACTTGCAAAAGATGACACTGATGAGAAGAATGAAAATGAAGCTCTTAATTTAAAGAAAGTAAAATACGATGACTCAGGAGATAGAAAAAATGCACCTCGTGATTCATTAGATAGTGGCTCCCCATCTCAAGAACGTTTAAAAATCAAACAGGAGCCAATTGACAACGAATCTATAACTGAAAAACCATGTATTAAAAAGGAACCTGTTGACATTGAAAGTAATAAGGACATATCTTATTCATCTAATCATTTTTCATCCGAGAATTCACTGAAAAAGCTAGAAAGTTTATCCAAAGGCAATTTTCCTAATACTCCAAAGAAAGCTGACTTACAGAATCCAGTGGGCCCTTACAACCTCTGCGTGAACGACTTTACTGACTTCTCTGATAGATCCCCATCCTCATCTGTCTCAAGTTACGATTACAACACAGAAGATAATCAAGGCCAGATCTACGGCCATTTTGATGATGGGTTCTTCATTACAACAACAGACATTCCCATCGACGCTGAAAATCCATTGAAATGTAAAGTATGTGACAAATTATTTCAAAACATATTCATCATAAAAACGCATTACCAAAATGCGCACTTAAAAGTCATGTACAAGTGTAATAATGACAGATGCAAAGCTGCATTTTCAACACGACGAAGCAGAGACAGGCACAGCGCAAACACCAATTTACATAAACGAGTTTTATCTGACGTAAGATCTGATGACTACAACATAGTAGAAAAAACACGAGAGCAGATAGAACTAATGATGAAATACAGCGAAGACGAGCGACCTATACCCTACATAGAATCCTCGAAGTACTACAGAGTTAATGATATAAAACCAAAAAATTTGAATCATATACCTCTAAGTGCCACTTACCCACCGCTGCTACCGGAAGCGTATTTAAATCGAGACTTGTTCAATCAAAATCCATTTCTATTCACACCATTTGGCATGTTACCAAATTTCGCTCCGTTGCCATTTAGTTTCTTGCCACCGAACATTAATGCGTTCGCTCAGAATTATTCGCCGCCACCAAAACTGAATTATTACATAGACGAGGAAGCACCTCGGCCGAATAGAGATGGGTATTACCCATGTCGGGGATGTAGAGAGAGCTTCAAAGATCTGATGGGTTTGAAGGCGCATTGTGAGTCGGCCCATGCGCACCTATTGCATCGGTGCTCGGTAAATGGATGCAATGCAGCGTTCTTTTCGCGGACAAAGAGAAATTCCCATACTGAATCTCACTACCCACAAAGATCCGAAAAGATTACATTGTGATTCCCGTATATTTTGACTGTAAAGATTCTATGCATTTGTGATGATATTTTAAGTTTAGTCTATGTAAAAATGTATTTTAAATTCAATAACCGTTATTTAACGTTCTTATGTAACATTCCATGTTGTGCAATAAATATGTAAATATAGTAAATAAATTGAATTATATAAAATTTCTTCTATTTAAAGTTGGTGCTAACGTGTATTATTCAATAAATTCATCAGTAAATTGTATTGTAAAGCTTTGATGTAATTATTAATCATAAGAACCAAAAAGTATTATTAATTGTGAGGTTATTGTGTATATTAAAATACTTCTTTGCCAAATAGTGCATAATAAATAGTTTCAAGTTTCATATGTCCTCGTTTTATTTACGGCAAAAAATAATTGATACACCAAGTAGAAATGTATATTGTAAATGGAAAATTGGCTTTAAAATTTCAAATCAAATTAATTTGAATTAAATTACTTACAGTCTTAAACAATACGATATGCAGTGCCGGATAAAGCCAGCGCGGGGCCTGTAGCAAATTCTGCCTAGGGGCCCTTGGTTAGGCTTTAGGATTTAAATAGTTCGCCTGTTTCCTCGAGATACTTATAATCGATATTATATTAAAATTGATTAGAAAAGTACAATCTCGGCTTCGTAAACTCGGTTCAAAATAACTGTATACCTATATAAAAATAAGAATCTGAAGGGTACAAATAACGTGTCTGAGTCTAAATATGTATATCGATTATAATTAAAATTTGAAAATTAACGTTAAAAAGATAAATACGTACTTATTTTAACGATTATACTTAACGAAGTCGAGTTTATTTTTATGTGGAAGGACCATAGACTAATCGCTTCGCTAAAGGCCAAAGGTATGCAAGACCTTTTACGCTACTATCTAAATTAATACTTTTTTATTACGGTCAGACAGGCGTTGGAGCGCGGGGCCCCTAAGTTCGTGGGGCCTTTACCCTGGACCCATTAAAATTAATTGAAGGAGATGGTAGCAGTCATGGCGTATCACATGTCTGTTTAAGTTCCTATATACCTCTTAAATACCAACCGTAATTGCTACGAGTCGTAGTGACTTCAAATATATTAAAAGTCCTTTTTTCTATAGACCAATTAGATATAATATTGGACATGTAAGTCGATGAATATTGTTACAACAGTTAACTCTCTCCTTGGTAGCTCATTTCTGAGCGTCGTCAGCAAGAAAACACCTGGAGCAGACTATCTGTTTCCACCGGTTTCTGTCTAGTGCACACTAACTTAATATAAAACAACGAATAATGATAGTTTTTTTGGTAATGTTAATAGTTTCTGCTTAAGAGTTATTTAGATTTAAAAAATACAATGGCGTTATACCTCTTCTGGTCTAGGCTTCATTTCTGTACCTATCTGTTTCGTGATCATTTATTTTTTCTAATATACAAGTAGATGATCAGCCTTCTGTGCCTGACTTTATGTGTCTAAGGCATGCCAGTTTCCTCACGATGTTATCCTTCAAACGAGTGTTAAATACGCACATAGGCAGAAAGTCAATTGTTGCATCATGGGATCGAACCTACGACCTCAGGGATGAGAGTCACACGCTAAAGCAACCAGCACTACTTAGATAATTAAATACCTGAATAGATAGAATTCTAATAGAGAACATTAATGACGTCATAACGACAAAGCAATTACGACATAGATTAAATAGATACGTAGGCGTAGAGTTGATGACGCAAACTTATGTGGTACGACATCTTGATATTGAAATCAAGTGGTAAACTTGCTGGTCAATTATAAAAAGATATCTAGTTTTTTATAATCGTAATGCCTTCTAGATACTGAGTGTTTTAACCGACTTCAAAAAGGACGGTTATGAGTTTGACTTATTTAATTATGGAATTAATCATTTGGGTGTGATCTATATAAGCCTTCCAAGATTATGTGTCAAATTTCTGAATAATATATGGAGATTAATTATGTAACTGAAATCTACAACTTAGGGCAGTTTCATCAAAATCGGTTCACGCATTTCTGATGCATCGTAAAATTTTTGTAAATTATTTTTTAAACATTTGTTTGGGTTTTAAGTTAAAGCTGAGTCAACAATTAATTAAAGCCCAACGATAATAGGATGTTTAAAAATGGAACACGCACGCGATGTGACAAGTGAAGCGACAGCGAAATGTCACGGCGCCCCAACGTGACACCTGACACTTGATACACAATCGATATTATGAATTAAATATCGCCACAGGTTTTGTATGACCAGTAGTGGTTAGGACATTCTCAAAAATGTGGGCGTGTGTTTGAATCCCGGTTGTGAAATTTAATTTTATATGAACAATTTTATCTAAAGAATGTTGCAATTCAGCTAATTTAAGGACTTATTAAAGGAAGCATACTTTTCTAGCGTTTATTATGACAAAAACTTATTGGATTGATTGGAGACAGCCTAAGGCTTCTAGTCAACTACGAGTGTTCAACACAGAAATGATAGAAGGTTCTAAGATAATTAATTATCATAATTATAACCTAATGTGACTTGGTAATAAAATGGAATTGGAATATAATTTTGAATCCAAAACGGATATGGAACAAAAGTCATCCGTACGTAAATCCCACAATATTATGAAGAGCAGTAGCCATGGCAATCCCTCGAATGTTCGCAAAGCGTCAGTCCTTTCATTTACATAATACACTCTCATCAAATACATTTTGAATTTGGAACGTTACACAATTTAAATAATAAGGCCGTAAATACATGTGCTATGGACGACTAGTTTTTATAAACTTTTATACTAAACAATTTATTTAAATCAATCAATATTTTGTTTAATACACTGAACATACTTTTGAAATCGTAGGCTAAAGACGAAACCTGCTGGTAGTAACTAGTTAATATTTCTTCCATTGTTAAATAGAAAGCGTTTGTAACTCAACACACATTTAATTACCTAGTAATTATAGCACAAAGTTGGCACCGACCGGAATTTCGACATTTAAATCTGACAATGTAGCCGAACCCTTAATTTACTGCCAAAATACTGGCTGAAAATGTTGCAATTTTACTGCAAACAAATTTAGTTCCTATTTTAAATAGTTAGGGCTTATTTTATTAGTGGCCAATCGAATTCGATATTCAAATTCAAAATAAGAATTCGAACGAACTTGTCAGCAATTTGTTTTGAAGACGCTCTTCTAACTCACAAAGAACGCTCCTATGTTTTAGTGTTCCGTCACGCGATCTTTTAAGGGCGTATTCATATCGCTGCTTATAAAAATTTGTCTAACGACATTGGAACATAAAATTAATCAAATACAATGCAATATTTTTGATAAGGCCCGGCCCGCCTTTAGTTTGATGTTTAGTTTTTTTTTCTTTTACCAAGCATACTAACTACGCTAACTAAGTAAGGAGTTTCGTTATACAATTAAGTCTGAAGTGATTTTCCATATATAAAAAGACACTTTTTTTGCACCCACACCATACTCTGAAGTAGCTCTCACATATTATTTATAAATATTAAAAGCATAGGTAAATATGTTTTAAATTGTTACCCTGAAAGTACTAAACTTAAATACGAAAATGCAGGCGTATTTGCGCTCTTACGCAGCCTTCTCCAAAACTTAAAAAAACGTTTACAAGACAATCCCTTCTAATCGCGCCTTTACCACATTTGAATAAAGAAGTCTTACTTTCTAAATCTATATAGGCCGTTATTTGTGACCCGTTATTAGGGCCCTGGGGAAATGGTCCTAAATAACTAGGACCTACTAATAACTGTCTCGCATTAGACCTAATAAATGCCTACAAAATAAATTTTATGGTGCGGTATTATTGAGTATGCTAATCCAAAAAATTATAGTTTTCCATATTGTTTTTAAAAATAGAATAAGAATCTGACAACCTCCCAACCCGACGCGTACTTATCTTAAAACAACCTTTGTGTCTTTAACTTTACAATATCAATGTATGTCGTAAAATCTATAGTCATTGCATGTCATTGATAATTTAAAAAATAGGCCACTTCAACAAAAAAGTCATAATTCGTATTTCGAACTCATAAGAACCATAAAGCACGGGCCACTTTTGGCACAGACTCGATCACGCAAACTTCGCCCGAGGACTTAAAAAAGGAACAATCCAATTCAGACAACTCGACTTTTGAATTTGGAAGCGTCACCGCGAGCGATGCCGCCATATTGCACGCGACGCGTTCTGAAATTGAAATAACATGAATAGACTCGATATTTTATTGATTGACTGTAATTGTAGAAGGGTTATTTATATTGTTATGGGTTGATTTTTTTAAAGACTTTTAAACTCGGTATTGCATGTAGGTGCTATCACCTACATTACAGTACTAAGAAGTAGCTTTGTCTACCTACCTATTAATGTAATTTAGTTTTATACCAAAGTAAGAAATTATGTCATAAATAACACTGATAAAAAAATTGCCTGTTTAAAAGTTTAGGTATTTTACCTATCTATTGTCATCTACATAGAAATTATAGAAGTATCGAAAATCTTCAAAAATAATTGAAATCTTGCAAAAAGCAAATTAATGGTTTTTAATATCATATCGAATGAAACGAAAAATAAATTTTAATTTCTTAGTCATGTAACATGTTATAATAAAAGGTTTATAATAAATATGCTAAAAATGCGCTCAAAAATTTAAATATCGAATCACGACATTTCTCTCTCACGGTTTGTCACTAAGGAATTTAAAATTCGAACTATTTTGAATATGGAATGAATTTTTTGAATAAATGCATATAAAACCGAATAATGACAAATTGCTCGGAGCTATTATTAAATTTGCTAAATTCAGTTGCATTCCATTCAAATTTCAAAAATTTACAATTCGGTAGGCATTCTAAAAATTTAAAAACAAAGTCACGTTATTTGATTCTCACGCCTTTGGAATTTTATGAAATAAATTTAAAAAATACCGATATACTTATGCCACTTATACACATTGATAAATTTCTCATGAATTAAATAGA